GAGAAGCGGCTCCTGCAGGCGGCGGCGCTGGTGCTGGCGGCCCTGGTCCTCCTGCCCAACGTGGGGCTCTGGGCTCTATACCGCGAGCGGCAACCCGACAGCACCCCTGGGGGACCCGGGGCGGCGGTGGTCCCAGTGGCCGGACAGGTGAGCGCCTCAGTTGCCTGGGACCCAGGCACCACTCCTTGAATTCTTGTCTAGCCTGCGGATCCCTCCCCTACCTCTCTCTCTTCAGAGGCAGTGCCAAAGGGTCTGCGTTTCCCATTTAGCAGATTGGAAACCTTGAGGCTTAGAAGAGGATAGACACTTCTCCAAGGTTCCTGCCCAGTTAGAGACAGACAAAACTAGAACTCAGGCCTCCTAGCACCTAGTCTGGGGCTCTCTTTCTTATCACGCCTTTCTTCCTTTTTGCTGTTGCCTCTGATACTCCCTGACCACTTCCACAATTCCTCACCTGCATTCCTGTATCCCAGGATACTTCCCCCTGCTGATGGAAGTGGAGATGCTGGTGCTTCTGTTTGGTGTGCAGATTCGCCCCCCCACACACCTCCCCCACCTGCTGATCCTGGTGTTTCCATCCAGATCGGTCCTTCTTCTGTTTTGCCACGTGCACAGGGACTCCCATATCTCCTGTCCTCATTTATTTGCCACCTCCTTCCTTGTTAAGGTCCTGCGCATTCCTTGGGATGTGATGATCTTGCTCCCCATCATGCTTCTGTTGGAGCTTCAGGCCCTTGGAAGTGGCTTAGGGCAGAGCTGCTGGACCTTGAGGAACTTGCCTTCCTGCGGGGCATCTGGGTGAGGAGCCTGTGGTGGAGGGATCCAAACGTGTCCTAGAGCTACTGGAGTCCAGTGCCCTGAGGAGGGACTACCAGATGCGCCCCCTTGTCTCTCCTGAACTGGTTAGAGGTAGTGTTTCCTGTGGCCAAAACTGAGATCTTGGTGCCTCTTCTTCACCCGTGTGTGTGTGTGTGTGTGTGTGTGTGTGCGTGCGCACACGCGCGCCTGTGTGCATGTGGTTACACTTGCAGCTTTCCAAAAGCAGAGCCTGGTCGCGTCACTCTGACTCTTGCATCTCCTGGCAAGCGTATGCAAGCTTGGGCTGTTTTATACAGGGGGCATTTCAGGGTCCCTTGTGAGCTTTTCTTGATCCATGGGAAGTGGGTAATTTGTGCACAAAGGTCAGGCTTGACTGGTAGTTGGCTGGTGGGGTGAATGAGATGGACTTTTCTGGGCATTCTGGTGTCATGACCACAGAGATTCTTTGCTACAGGGCTAATCCCTATGAGCTCAGCCCGCCACTCTGGGAATTGTTGCAAACCATCCTAGGAGGTCTGGTTGATCTTTCCAATCTAAACAGAAGATCTCACTGTTTAAAAACCAAGCGCCCAACTCCTCTCCTAAATGCCTGCTTCAGACTGACAGCTGACTTTCACCTCTCTCCTGTAAATTCTGTACCAGTTGGGGCTTCCCTTCCCTGATGCTGGAGTCCCTGATAGTATCACTAGTTTTGGGGGGCCATACTGGTCACTCCCGAAGCCCAAGGGGGAGTGACCCAACCAAGTGCACATCCTCCCTTGGAATGGATGCTGCCAGTTTTAGAATAGCTCTTGACATTCTACCTCTGCCTGGAGAAAGCCCTTGCATTTCATTTGCAGTAGATGCCAGAGACGTCCTGATTTTCATTTTCTATAGACCCAGATGTGCAGAGAGGAGGTCAAGGTTAAATGCCAGTTTGGCCTGAGCTTTCAAGATAAATTACTCACTTGTGTAAGAGGGCACTGACGGGATAAGGCAGCCTTTGGTGCGGAGGGAGAGGGGAGCAACAGCTGGGTCTGCTCAGAGCCCCGAGCTGGAAGAGCAAAGAGGCTCACTGGGCAGGTCGAGTTCTTGATCATTTCTTTTTCTCTGGAATAGCATGAAGAGGAGGGAGCTGGAGTGGCAAAGGGTGTGCGTGTGTGTGTGTGTGTGTGTGTGTGTGTGTGTGTAGGGGGTTTCCTGTCAACTGCTTGTCCTAGCTTTTAAGAAAACCTCTTTGCTCCCTGGGAGTAGCAGAAGGGAGTTGTTTCCCCACTGATGAGCTCTTCTAGGTGCTGCAGGATTCAGCATTCATCTGCTGCCTCGCAGAAGCATGCTGCCAAATCTCCACACAGCCCCTGTTTGTTCCACTCTCCAGCAGATGCAGAGCCCTGGGCTTGAGTGGCAGGTGGCCTTGAGGGAGCAGAGCCGACTTCCCTTCTCGGGGTAGCACGGTTCCGTCCCTCAGCCCAGTGTCCTGCGGCATGCGCTTACTGTGTGGGGCTGCTCGCTGGCTCTCTCCACAGGGCTGACCAGACCTGAGCGCAGCGTCTGACAGCACCACTGTTGAGACGCAGCTCAGAGGCCTGTTTTGGTCTTCCTGGTAGACATAACTGTGGCTCTGGAGGGAGTTCTGACAGGACTTTATCCAAATGAAAAATATATTCCTGTGGTTTGAGAGTTTTCTCCCCACTCTTTGAGCAGTCTTTTAACTCCTAGAGTTTGCCAGTGGATTGAAGAATAGAGTTTCAAATTAGGAGGTTTTGTCATTGCTGAAATGTAAGCCCTCATAACTGCGGTGCTGGATCTGGCTGGTTGTTCCTCTAGAGCTGAGCAGGGCATCTGGTTTATAAAGGACACCTCATGCTTCTGGGATTTTAGCATTCCTCTGACCAGAAAGCTGGTTTCTCAGAAAGCTGCAGAACCAAACAAGAAAAGCCAGCTTTGAAGCCATAGTTCTTGTAATTTGGGGTTCACTCTCATTGCTAGCCCCAGTCTGCTTAACATCTTGGTTTAATTTTAGGGTCTGTTTCATATTCAAGGCTTGGGAACTGGTTACTAAAGACCCACATTAGGAAACTCTCTACCGTCCCTCCCACTTCTGAGCCGCAATCTGGAGTGAGAAATGATTTCATTGGGTAATAGTGTCTGTAGAAGAGAAGTTGGTGGGTTAATAGAATACCAATGACTTTAATCTTCGAGTATTAGTAGTTTTTCTCATGTGTCAGAGCTGAACTTTATTCTTAGAGCATCCAAAAATCAATACTTGTTGCCTCTTTTTTTTAGTCTTCCTAGTAGCAGAACCTTGCCCGTCAGAAAGTAAGTACCATGGAAATGTAGCCTGCGGTGATTTCTTTAATTTTTCGCCAAGGGCCTGCCACCACTTAGGTAGCTAGTCACTTTTCTGTGTGCTTGCCCAGGCGAAATCTGATGCCCCTCAGAGGGAGCTGGCATCCCTGCTTTTTTCCTGTCCTCCTGTGCTGTTTGCTTGGCTTCTAGTTCCCTCTTCTACCCTAAGCTTGCTATGTGACCTCAACACAATGGCTTGACCTCTCTGGGCCTTGGATTTCTCATTCCTGGCCGGGGCAGGTATTGCCAATCAATCTCTTTCGCACTAAACCCAGACTTGGCCTTAGACTGTCTCTGAGTACTGATCCTTAAGCAGGGTTAATGACCTTGGAATTCATTTGTGGTGGTGGAAATAGATACTGTTAGTGCTTTTCCAATCTATGTAACATCCTGGCTTGGGGAGTTAGGAAGAACAGTTTGGGAAGGTTTCTCAAGTAGGCCACCTACAGCCCCCCAACCCCCAAGGCTTTGTTTGCATTCTAATGCTTAGGATGAGCCACCTGTAATGTGTTCATACAGTGACAGGCAACTTAGAAAATAGAACCAGGGGTTAAAGAGGCAAAGGCCCATTTAAAAGATAACCATCTAGCCAGCTAATTGTAGTAGCTCTAGCCCAGAGTTAGCATCAGGATCTCAGCGCAGTGTGAAATAATCTCGAGGCAAACTTGGCAGCAGCTAGCCATCTGTCTGTGGGTCTGTCTGTGGTGGCTAACTGCTGCTTACTGCCCGTCTGCAGTAGCTTCTGCGTTTTGCATACCTCTGACCTTCTGCTGCTCATGTATGTGTCAGAGGCAGAAAAAAAAGAGAGACTTAGCTAACGAGTCTGGCTTCTCCAGAGAACCGTGTTCTCAGTGCAGTGAGGAGGGCAGGGGGCCTGCACAGGTCTGAGTTCCTGTGGGCAGGAAGTGCATCGTCCTGGCTTCCCCTCCTGGAAGTGGCCCAAGGAAATGCCCTAGTCAGCACATGGCATAATTTGGCTCCCAGAAGACAGGAAGTCATCTAGACCACCTCCCTCGTTTTGTAGGTATGAAAACAGAGGCTCGGAAGAGAGGAAGTCACCAAACGCATGTCACAGGGAGGCACGCAGCCAGAGCACAGGGCTTCCCAACTTCACTGCGAAGACCCCCCCCACACACACACACGTACTAATATTTCATCCTTCTCTAGCCATTATTTCTCTCTTGAGCCAGGATTCTCAGAGCAACTTTCAGAGGCCCCTACTTAAGGAGACCAATTATCTGCAGGAACTTACCCATCTTTTTTGCAAAATCATTTTTGGCCAATTTTCTTCCCAGCATTTCATACTTTTGAAGTAGGTGCAATGGCTAAAACTTTAATGTGGCCAAGGAGGCCTGAAGGGAAGTAGGAGAATTTAAAGGATGTGTAGCATGGGGCACTCTGACTGCTTTCCATGGCTAATAGAGCTCACTAAGCCACCTCGGATTTCTATTTCAGTTGCAAGCAATAGAATGAGTTCAGCTGGGTAGGCTGAGGTTGCTTGTAGGACAGCACAGGTTCCTGTGACTGCAGTTGGCCCCAGGTGGGGTGTGATCCAGAGCTTTGTGGCATTGTCAGGTCCAGGGTTCTTTTCTCTGTGCTCTATTGGTTCTGACTTTATTTCTGTATGTGAGCTTTGTCCTAGACTGAGCCACAGTGGTAGCTGTGCTTGGAGGCCTCATGTCTATTCCTAGAGCCTAGAAAGACAGGTTTTGTCCTCGGGTTGCCTCTGTAGAAGAGGAGAAGCATCTTTACTGGGTCTTCTAGCAGGATGTCCTTATGTATTCATGGGTTTTGGTCTGATGAGGTCACAACCAGTAAGACCCACTAGCTCAAAAAAGACTACTCAGGAGCTAGCGCTGACGCAGTGTCCCAGGCAGCAGTCAGTCCCCAGGGCTCAGACTTGGTCCTAAAGAGAAAACCCCGCTGCACCCCCCCAGGGCTCAGGGTTGAGCACCGAGTCCGGGGTCAGGAGGACCCTGTTCCCAACCAGTTCTGCCACC